CCTCTGAGCACCCAGAGCCTCTAAACCATCTCAAACGCCGGCTGTGGCCAGACACCTGCAGCCTGGCCTCTCTGTTTCTCTCCAAACATTAAATTATCCATGTCCTGATCCTATGGCTGCTGCCTTTGGAAAACCGGGCTGCGTCCCAGTGCAGTTCCTCCCATGGAGTCGCCTTTGGGCTGTTTCAGAGGTGGATGTCCCACCTCCTCGTGAGAAACCAGAGTGGCTGGGGGTGGCGGGGGTTTGCCTGCCGCTCTGCCCCCCACCCCGTAGCCCATTCGAACCAGCACCAGTTTGGTTTGCACTGGTAAGGCAGAGCGAAGCTGGAGCCGTTCCCTCGCAGCGCTGGGGGAAGACCAGACCTGCCGGTGGCTGTCAGCAGGGTTTGGGAAATGGTTGTTTCGGAGTCTCACGTGCGTGGTAGGGCAGCAACGCCGGCAGGCAGGACTTAAAATGTTTCCTTAAAACTGAGCATCTGGATTCTGTACGTTTGCCCACTATTGACACGAGCGCAGCCACGCAGCTCCGGGGAGCAGCCGCTTCTCCCCGAGCCGGGATCCTCGGGCATCTCCGCCCTGCCTGGCACCGGGACCAGATGTGATTGATGAAGCCAAAGCTTTAGATTGTGCCCACTGTGGAAAGTGCTGCTGATGAACCAAGTCCCTGCAGGGACGAGGCTTCCCAGACCGCTGGGGGTTTGAGGGGCTCGGAGAGCCGGTGCTGGGTCTGTCCCCAGCAGGGATGCAATGGAATGGAAGAATTTTGGCCAGGGCATTAATTGTACCCTACAGGAAGGAGCAGGTGAGGGGCAGTGGATGGGAACCTGCGGCTTCTGCCTTGAGGGCACGTTGCCACAGTGGCTGTGACTTCAGAAAGTGAATTTTCTTATTATAAAAGTACTTTTATTAAACAGATGGAAAGATGCTGTTTTCAATATGGTTCCCAAAGCAAACACCACCTTGACTGGTGTCGCTGGGCACAGCCACCTGGGCGGGCAGGTGCCCCCCACCTAGGGCTCTGGGAGCAAACGAGTGCCCAGCTGGGTACAGATGGGACCCCTTGCCACATCCTCTCCCTGCGAGCCCCGAGGCTCACCCAGCTTGTTCCCTCGTCCCTGCTACCAGCAGCTTCTTTCCCATTCTCCCAGCAGACCAGTAGAGCAGCTCGTTTTCCCTCTGGCAGCAGCTTCTTTCTGCTTTTCCACTTCCAG